AAAGTCAAACTACAACTCCTCGATTTCATGAGAATGAGCACGTGCTTGTTCGTACGTGATTTATACCTCATCATCATATTCAGTGTAGATGATCAGATGCTTAAACTTACTTCTCCAATAGACAGAAATCAACATTTTTTGCACTTTCTGTTTCATAATGTGCTAGCACTCCCATTGCAAGAAGAGCAGTTTCTCGTATTTCATATATCTTGTTCTTACAAAAAATAGAATAAGAAAGAAATTATTAAAATTGATTTATTAGAAAAAAAACAATTATTATATAATGTGCTGAAGGCACAAACAATTCTATCCAGGAATTTCGTGTCATTTGAGAATATCAGTTACCGGTCAGAATCTTGGTTACATTACGATTTGGCATTAACATAATGGGATGATAATAGGACAAAGATAGCTACGATCAAGAGAATTTAAACTCATCCATAAAACTAAAGATACACTAACTTAACACATGAGATGACAAAAGAGAAAGTGGAGACACAACTTAGAATTGCACAAGCAAAATGGCGGAATTTGGTGAATGCCACCCGTATACAACCGGTAATTAAGGATGATATATCTATTTTTCTATGTTATATTTTAATATTATATATATTCTGCTAATTCGAGGAAAATCATAATAACAACTTATAAATCTTGACAATACACTGGCGGATTTTTGCTAAGATCCATCCGCAGAACTGTAGCTCCCGTAGGTGTAACTTCGGTTGCCAACATACTCGATCCTCCTTCAGAATAAGCTGAGTCATCACTCATTTTACTGCTGGGTGGCCGGCGCGATGCATAGTATAAAGCTCTTGGAACACCTTGAGGAGGTGGAGGAGGGGGTGAAAACTCAGGAGGGGGGCGATGATACTGACCAGGCTGAGATGACAAAACACTAGTGGTATTATAGCCATAAAGTTGGTCACGATGCATAGTTCCTCCGTATATACGATAATCCATCCGCTGTTGAGTTCGATAGTTCGGTGGAGACTGGTGATGATGATACATTTGCGCTGGTGCCATATCTCCATATTGAATAGTAGCATAGTCGTAAGTTCCTTGATGACCAAGAAGTTGCTGTTGATACTGCTGCATCAGTGCTTGATGTCCATAGGGAGTAGAAGAGTCAAGACGTCGAGGTGTTGAATGGTATTTCTCCGATGAAGGATACTGAAAATCAAATATCAAAAAATGTTCTAATCATTTTTTTCTGTGATTTTTGGAAAACAAGGAGAACGATTAGTTTTATCATGCGGTTAGAATTGTGTTAAGTTGTTTAGCAGAAGGAATTAGTAGAAATTCACTTCAACTAAACCTCACAGTATACAGGAAATGACATGATTTCTTTAGTTTAGGGATGTCTTGGTGGTCTTTTCATTCTCTGTAGGAACTTGGGATAGAAAGACCAGCATTTAATTGCTATTCAGTAATAGAAACTCAACATACCAAGAATTCGCTTCCACTTCCACTTCCATTAGATGGACTAAGGGCACCTCGTTGAAGATTGTTCTTCCTGTCAGAAGAATCGGATGTACCGCAACAGCCGTGACGAGCAAACCAACGTCTTATATCTTTTCTCATCTAAATGAATTGGTGTGATAATAGCATTATGAAATAGATAACTCACTACTTCACTGAAGACGACATGGAAAAGGAAAATAAAAAGTCCTTGCAGAGAATTGGTAATAGTGAAGGCATATGCCATGATAATTGATCTATCGGAGTCTACCCATAGTAATCCGAACGTCCATGTTACTCCCAACAGGCAAGAGATTCCAAGTGCACCTTTTACCCAAGTTCTGATAAGGAAAAAATGAGACATATGCCGGATGAACAAAAATATACCTAACGTTTCTTCCTGTGTCAGAGTCATGACGACAAGGTAAATAACCCCCAGAAGAATGACGACACACGATGCACAACGTCATTACTAAGAAGAGAGTGTTCAAGGCAAAAATAACGACGGCAGGTCCGACAAATGCGAAAATGAAGAAATTATCCGTTCTCAACCTGAATACAGAAAAAAGGGTGATGTTCGAATTCATATTAATAATACCAGCAGAACTCGGGTGTTCCGAAACTAGTATAGTCATAGAGCACAGCGACGGCTGTCACAACGGCTGGGAAACCATATCCAATCAGTGCAAAAAGCCACTTTTTTGATGGCGTGGGAAACACGTCAACTAGCATTCTATAAAGCTGATAGCCCTCTAGAAACATCCATGTTGAAGCCGACAAGAAAAAATAGAGCAAAGCTCCAGCAATAATTGAGCATTGCATTCTATTCTCAGTTCTCCAAATTCCTAACAGGAATACGAGTTCAGCAATGAACAACATAGCGCACAAGTTTTTGTGTATAAAAACTCTATAAATGTTCTGATAAAAAACACTAGTTCAATTAGTTTCATACCTGTCGCTTCCACATTTGGAGAATACTGTAAAGCAGATGAACGTGAAAGCTAGACAAATGATAGAGAGAGAACATCCGAAGTATGTTAAGAAGGTGAGTAACTGATTATTAAAGTCAGATAATTTGTGTCCATGAATATCCATGAGTACAGCAAAATGTGTCATATGCGTACATGAGCAAATCGTATGTGTGAGGTTATGGCTCATTAAATCGCATCCACTACTCTGCCACTATAAGTAATTCATTGTGTTATGATATATACACCAAATCAAATTACCTCTAGTCCTTCACTATCCCACCAAGAACATTTAGGATTAGTAAGACGACGAACTATATCTGCAGAATGACCGAATGTTATGAAAATCTGGAAGAATAAGTAAGTATATGACTCTATGGAACACTCTCACCGGCTCTTGCATGTTTGTAATTTTTTGAACTTTTCCCTTAGATACAATAGATGCTGTCACAATGTTGGAGACAATCTTTCTTTGAATCAGTATTCCTTCTGGCCTGTCGCGAGAAGTTCGACGGGTGGGTTCAGGTTCAAAGTTGGAACCCATCGAATCCGTAGCCGAAAAATAGACTACAGATCTTTCATCAGTCCCTTTGAATGCTTTGATAGGCACATCAATACTGTCATCGATGTAATCGAATGTTTTCGAAGAAGGAAGAGAGACATACACACTATGTGTTTTTTTGAGATTCTTAAAAGAGGTAATAGAATTCACAAAGCTTTGGGATGAAAATACCTCATAAAAATCGCTTATTTGAGCAATCAAATGTCCTCGGGCATATATAGATGTCATTGGTTTGTCACCTCCTGAACTCCAAGCAATAACTTGTTCCATGTAAGTGATCAGTTTATCAGCCATTTTTCTTTTTTTATGACTGGACCATGCTGTCCAAGCATCTGCATGTGCACTCAAATGATAAACTAGCTCGAACACTTTCTAAAAATAAAAGATTTGATAAGATTATCCGAGGAAACTATTCTCACATCATTGCACTGTTGACGAACTTGCAAAGTCCAGTGTTCATTTGTTAGCACATTTATTGTTTTTTCAATGAAATCGAGAAGAGGAGGTAAGTCACCAGCTTGAATTGTTCCTCTCGCGAGGTTAGCCAAATCTCGGAGAAACTGGAATAGACAAGAGTAAAAAAAAGGTCTGGAGAAAACTTACATCAGCGACTCCCCAACCGTCTGCTTTCTTGATATACTCATCCAAGAGTTGAGACTTCGTGAAAATCCAATCGCTGATACATTTAGTAGTGTTTGGATATCGTCCTAACCAAAATCCTTCGTCGGTACACTTCCACCAAGATTCTCCCGTGGCTCCATCCATACATGGCCTAACGTTTGTAGTTAACCCTGCTGGTGTAGCAGGATATTCTACTCCATTTATTGTTCGAGCAGAACAAACGAGAATGGGCTTCGTTTCATCCAAACGAGAACTAAAGTAGACAAATTGGAGAGGATGAAACAACCTTCTGAGACACTCACGGTTTGTTTTCGATAATCACATCGTGCTGCTGTTCTTCTTGAGAAGTTGTTGTAGTAGGCGCTGCTGTAGTAGTTGTAGTTGAAGTTGTTGTTGTTTCTGAATTTAATCAATGCATAACTCCGTTCCAAACTCTATCTATCCAAAGTCATGCTTTTTTTCACAACACCAACCTTCTAATACACACGAATAACTGAAATCCAGATACAAAGGTAAGTCTACAGTTGGGCATGGATGGGCATCCGTTATGAAATCCTTCGCAGTTGCTCGTTGAGTACATTCTCGTTTACCATCACATCTGACAACACAACATCATAAACACATAAGCAAAGAAAATGGATCTGATTAGGAGCTTCCAACTAGTTTTAAGCGTTTTCGTACACAAAATAACTTCACAACAATATTACACCTTTGAAGATCACAAAGATATATACCTTCTACGCATGAATATGTCATTTCAAGATATTTGCTAACTTCAGGACATGGGTCAGGGAACATATACCGGTTAACAGAAAACTTGCAATCCCGAAAGCCATCACATCTGAACAATTCACTCAAATGATTGTCTCAAGACATCTTTCTCAAAAAGAGAAGCGACACGAATAATTCATCAAAACCCTTTTCCACCTAGAATCCGTTTGATCACCCGATTGTCATTCATAAGCTGTCAAGGATAGTATGAATAATGAGGTCACTCGTCTAGTTAAACCCGTTTGACCCCAAGAGTTCTTTATGCTCTTCCATACGGAATCTTGACTGAAGTCTCAAAGCAATACTCCTTCAGACCCATAAAAATCTGGTGCAAATCTATATAGATTTACTTGACACTTCGCATTTCCTTTCATGTATTGAGCAGCAACTATGGTTCAACGCCTTTCTGAATACAGCGTATTCGAACTCAAAGACGAGAAGTAATTGAAAAGCCAATGTTCATAGAGAATAGCAGGAAACCTAACCCGAATAGGCACCTGCTATTCAATCATGAATTGTTAGTGCAAGCTTAATGATTCTGAGTGCTAATACGGAAGAACTGAATATATGTGTGAAAATTGCCAGCTGGCATCGACTTATTTGCTTCTGGACAGTTTTGTTATTTGAGAATATTTGAAACTGCATTAAGGACTTCCTGTATCTTGTATGTAAGATAATCTCGATCATATGGAAATAGCTCACTCCCTTGGTAAGAATTTGTTCACAAAGCTTTAAACAAACACAAACTTTGTACAGAAAGAACGAGGTTTCATGCTGTTAAATCAAACAGTGATAGGAGTTCTCTGCAAGGTCAGATTGTCAAGTGCCCATTCGAAGACGGAAAGAATCTTTTTTCTCCCCATGGATTTAATCTGTTCTCAATAGATTCGTTGGGTAGGGATGAGTTGAAAGCACAGCTTTTATAATTATGAGTTTTAGCTAATGCTTGAAACAATTAGCGAAAACAGCTGATGGTAGGTTTAGTAAAGAAGAGCTAGTCATGCGAAATGGTTGACAGAAGGCACATACGATGTCGAACAAATGTCAGTACAAACCCAGGTGGTCATCTGCTTATTTGTTCCTACCAACCATAAAATCATGACAAAAGTCAAGGAACTGTACAGAAACTAAATGTATGCCTCAATTAACTTTGAATAATTAATCCAAATCAGTGGTTGTATCGAGAATTTTATCCCATAGCATGTGTTAGAATGGATCTGTTGATCAATGTAGATCAAGAGAGTGCAGTTCGACTAACAAGCTCTCAATTATTCCCACAATTAAAACAGAAACCCTTTACATTCTGCACTATATTGATGACATGAGATCGATAGGACATCTATAATTACCGCTAAAAAACTGTCTTTGTAAAGTTTCAGACACTAGAGAAATAATTGAAAACTTCTAAAGTACCCTTCTTCATTTGTTTGAAGAAAGTAGCACAATAATATAAATTAGCAACAAATACAGGGTCATATTTCGTTCGGCACGTTAGTGAGATATAGTCTGTCGGTCTACGAAGTTTGATGCAGCTACGTGCTGAGGCTTGGCCATTGTCTCGATGAATGGCGACTATCGGGTCACTGCACTATAGTTATAGTTTAGAGAGTAAGACTATTTCCTTTTCTAGCAGTTCAACTAAACCGCTTCTTATACAAAAGAATGAAAATAGGATGGTTGAAAGAAAAGCCCTTTTTAACAAATATTGTTAGCTGAGCTGAGATATCATATATCTGCTGTCAACAAGCAACATCTATCATTTCTTGCATGTTACAAACAACCATTAATGCACAGAAACATTTGCTTCAATCTCATCATAAAGTCGTAAAATCAGACTGAACGAACACTTATGAGCCACGCAACCCACTGAATGCTACATATTCGTTCAGTATGAAATTAATGACAACATGGCAGTGCACAAGATTAAGGACATGTTGAACACATGGCGCGGAGAACTGGCATAGTTAGAACGCAGAGTGATCAGTAAATTATAGCTTTGCGCCAAACGAAAGATGTGACTGTCCAGCTTATGGAAACGTCAGTTCAAAAACATAGCTCACAATCTCACAAGCCTACTTAGTTTCACCTTTTTGTAGTCTCATCACATATTGCGGCAGCACAAAAGGATTAGGCCATCAAGTAGCAATCAGATTTGCATATTCAGAATATGGCGCAGGCCTTTGCTTTTAAGGTTTTAGATGATATCCATCTTAAATTTCCACAATCTGGCACTACACTTAAGACGAAATATTACAGCACTTTGCATATTCTCGGTGCTATTACAAAAATCAATAACCTAATTGATGTAGTACAACCTGATTGAGAAAAAATTACAGAACTGTCCCAAGGACTTAGTGGAACTCCTGCTGAGACTGTTGTTCTTGGATAACCTAACGTAAAAATGTTTGATAATCCGCTTCAGCAGACTCTCAAAACAAATTTAGCCCTTGGCATTTGAATGTCATGAACGAACAAACACTATCAAATATTGTCATAAAATATTTTATAGTGGAACATTCTTCCTTATGAGTAATGAAGAGAAACAACTCGTGAGGATGAGCCAGCTAACAACAGTATTCGTTTATGAATCATTTATAGCGTAAACTGCCTATCTAGTACCGAATGGTAGGCTGTTCTCTAAGACACTGCTTTCAAGGCATATCGCATGATTCCTCACAAATAATATATGCCCGCAGGCATATGTTTAATTGGATCTAATGCTACCTTTCTGTTCGAGTTTTCAATATATAGTAAAATCAAACTTACTTTTTCTGCATAATCCCTAAAGTTCGGGGGTTACGACAGATGGTGTCATCCAAGTAATCTTCCACAGCAGATGGATCGATACATACCTGAAGAAAATTTTCGAAAGTTAATTTTTTTTCTGTTTTGCTTCTTACTTTAAGTGAGAAACGACCAAAATTTGCCAATTCTATTTTAATAACCTGTCCAGGCGGACACTGCAGAAACGCTTCGTCTCCCTCGCATACATAAATATTGGTTTCTGAAATTATACGAATTGTAAAATTTTGACCTTTACTACTATTCATATGATTTCTTGTCCCATTTTAGGTTGTTGACTGTTGGCTTCTATTTGCCCATGCAACCACCCGCGTGGCGTATCGTCTTCCTCTTCCAGTTAGAAGCATAACCTTACGTAAATAAAGACCTCCACTTAGCATTATTCAATGTACTGCTACTGCTCATCAGCACGCAAAATTAATCAGAGGCTACTTATATCAACTAGTTCGAACCATCTAAGCATTAGAACGCATCTATATGCCAAAAACAAATTTGAATATATGGAATAGTCAACTGAAGGAAACCATTATGGCGGTAATGTTTTGAGCCACAGGAACTCTCTCACTTTCGCACTTAGCGTTCACATTTACCAATTAGGGATTACTAAGCTGACAAGCTACAAAGATATTCCCCAGTGTCCATTGCGAATGGATTTGAGAAAGGCTTAAAGCATGAAAGAACATTCTTAAGTAAATAGAAAACTGTAACTGAAACAGAAAGTGAATAATATCAATTCCTTTCTTATATACCATCCCTTCTGGCTTTGGTATTTTGTTTCAAGCAAATCAACTTTCCAAAATATGGAATTGCTTCGTTTCTGGAAAGAAACGAAGAAATACAATATTGCTGAAAAGAAACGAAACTATACCACTGCGCTGGTAATTATTAAGTACAAAAAAGTCAAGTAAGCATATATACAGTTATGATCCAAGATGATTATTTACTAACTACTCTCGGTCTGTCTTATGTAGCAAGAGCCCATATGCTTTAAGTTCAATGGAAAGAGACTGCCGAACAGGCAAAACTACAGCTAATCCTTTGGTCAAACACCCGCTGGGCTTTTAAGTTACCGATGCCAGAAACTTTTGTTAAGGAAGATGAGATAATTATTGTCATTTCGAACAGTGTGAATGACATAAATGAAAATTATAGCATATCGAAGCCTCATAAAATGACCTGATGAAAATCAATATCCACTTAGTGTGGAGAAGGAAAGAGAACACAATATATTTTCCGATTTAAAGTGTATTAGAGACGATTCAGCGATTACTTAAGGACAAGGGTGAGGATGCTATTCTCGCAGCTTTATAAACACAAATATGTTAATTAGCAGGCAAGCTTTCACCACCTTCATCATTCCGACATTTGGAACAGATGAATGGCATATCAACCGCAAATACGAAACAGATATTATGCTGCAGGCAAGCATGCGCCAGAATGATGATGAGTCAAACAGGAGGGCAAATGCCGGAAGGAAACGGGTAGATCAAAAGGATTTAACTAATTGGTGTGAAGCATTGATACCCAAGGCTTCGTTAGAAGATTTTCTTATTTGTTTCCGCTTGTTGGATAATGTGTCAGTTATCGTATGCGATACCTTATCGTTACATCTACCCTTTTTGTCCACCGCTTTTCGCGCATAGTCCGATGACAATCTAGGAAGATTTGCATACGCAATACTATCTTTCATTTTGACTAGACACATCATCTGAATCATAAATCCACCGCCTGGATGACCTTCGTCATTAGAATGACAGAAATCACTTGCGCACGCTTTTTTCTTGGGGGTATAAATTCTGCGTATAAACACAAAATTTATGAACATGAATCATAATTAAGTGTTAAAAAGAAACATAAGATCACGTATGTAACTAAAGTTCGCAAGAATCACAAAAGGTAGCACATGAAGAGATACTTCTGTAGACCTCCAAGGGCTATTACATGAAAGGGCTCGGAAGTATAAGCGCATACAGTAGATGAATGATTGACTTCTTACGTCACCATAATGTGCTACTGAACTTCTGCTCACTGCTATCATAACATAATAACACAATATATATATATAGCTATTTTAGTGAAATAGCTACACCAAGCAGAACATATTTCCGGTAACAGAAACCATGTTATTATAAAAAGCAATCTAGCAGAAACAAAAAATGACCTCCAAAACAATGAAGTACATTAATACTTACGAACACATAGTTTATGCATAATTATGCTCATCCATATAGTTTTGAATGACCATCATTATTTCTTCTAGATAATCAGTTAATATCGAAACAGGTGCATCGTGTACACCTTGACCAAATCTAATATACGCTAGCCAGGTGAAAGTTTCATAACACATAGTTAATCTCAGTCAATCGATCATCAATATTTTTGAAATGATTGCTTAAACCTAACCTAGTGCTGAATCAAAGCTGTGTGAGAAAATTAATCATAACGCTTCTATACGAGACATTCACATAGTTTGCTGCGGAACTTTCATTAAATTCTCAGAGACCTTACGACCCCCATTTCAGTTTAGTGGCAAATAAGGATATAAGGCAAAGAAGAAAAATTTAGAAGATAGCCTGTGCTAAGCAGAAGTATTCAGGAGAAGCTATGTTACGATTTAGGCCTGAATCACAACCAAATGTTGATACCATGTCTCATTCGTACTTGGCATCAGTAGTGATTCTAATAGCCACTATAAAAATAGAACAAATATCATATAGACTTGTTCCAACTTCATATCTTACATAATATTCTTGCGCCACAAAAGCGGTGAAGCTTTCGTGATGAAGAACGCAGTGTCAAGTACTGAATTTCTCAAATACGTGTGATTGTAGAGGAAATCGAAGAAAAACATAAGAAAAAATAACGAATAGAGAAAGAAACTGATGAACTCACTATTTGCGTATACGAGAGCGTTCACTAGTGCAGTTGTGAATAGCAGAATACTTAGACAGGATGAATAACTAGTCATAATGTTTGAGCATCAACAAAATACCATTACTTCTGAGTGAATTCTGCCTTTAAGTACTGGTTAAAGCCTGAAAACAGTTGAACTATTCTTTGAAGTTAAAAAAAACAAATAATGAACAAAGAGCGACGGGATAAGCGAAAGGCAAGTGAGGGGATACAATGAGGGAGGGGCAACCATGTTAGAACAGATAGTTAAGGCGGAGCGTGGATAGGTCTCAGCGGCTAACATAGGCCGTTGGACCCCGCCCATAAAGAAAACGAAGAGGAAACGGATCTGGTAGCTAACACGGAAAAATTGAATTGGAAAAAATTGTAATCACAACTTTCCTAATATATCTTTTTTAACCATATTTCAATTACATTTTTTGGAAATGTAGTGGAAAACGAAATGTTTAAATTTCCGTTGTACAGAAGCATTTAATCGAACATATGAAATAAGGAATGAGTGCAATTACGAAAGATGGAACGGAAAACATTAAAATAGGTATGCGTGAGAGAATTCTCATTCAGGGTAGAGCTATTAGATGAATTATTAAAGCTGAACCTACTGGTCAGTTTTGCGACAAAGTAGAATAGCTAAATACTACAAAGAGAGCAAGATGCAAATGAAAATTACTCAAAGAAAAAATAGAAGTAAAGAGAACGTTCGTTCGAAAAACTCCCACTGTCTAATTTGTATGAGCATGAGAAAAGCTTTTTTGGAATAGGAGCATAGGAAATATAGTTTACAATCCCAAGGTGTTCCGAGGGCATGCCAGAATCGGCTGTAAATCTATTAAAGGAACGTCAAGCCATGAAAATCATAAAAAATATCCCTTCCTCTATATATCTATACGTTAACATGACTGATCTTTAATAATCTTCAGAAATTAGGGCCAATAAAAAGTTATAATTATATTATGAACAAGAGATTAACGCTGACACTTACATGACTTATGAACGAAGATAGGATTGAGCCATATGGAATAATAAACTGGAAATCTGGCCTATCATTCTTAAACCATTCGTTCGTGAAACACAGAATGCAAAAAACGTCATGTGAGCTGTTTTTTGTGTTCACGTCAATAATTAGCATAAAAATGAATCACGTGACACGTCGAAAAGCCTAAACATATTCAGCCTGGCGAAACACAGAAGGGTTGATTTCAAAATCGTAATCAAAGCCAATTCATGAAGATATTACGAAAGATTGAATAAAACCTGAATTTCACATTGATAGTGTTAAAGAGCGTTTACAGCCGGGCGAACGTTTTTGACCTAACGTCTAATTATAGTCATTAATCATCACTGGAGCACATTTTAGCGGTTGACTTTTTTTCATGGAAAGCAAATGTCATCTCATCTTCGTCAGAAGGTACGTTTGACAATGTGTCAGATGAAGTTTGTATCGTTCTGAAGATCTGACATTCGCCAGGCGAAGGATCCCTTGGGCAAAAACTTCTTCTAATCAGACATTCCTCAGACATTGTATCAAAAATTCTCAAGATTTGCAGAGTTAGAATAAAGATATATGTATCAAATAATATTTTTTGAAGAGAAAAACCTAACGAAATATAATTAGTATGCACAAAATATAGCACATTCAATGAATAGCTTACTAAATGGGGATTGAAGTGGAGGGAAAGGATTGAGCATGAAGAAATAAATAGTATAAATCTCAACTATTTATGCACATTCCAGTCGTAGTTCGACGGACTATTGAATTTAGAACAATTAAGTGATTATTAACGCGAGTTTTCGCTTTATAAATTATATTTGAGATAAGAGTAAAACGATAAGTGGCAGAGAGTTACGAGGTCTGCGCTCGAAAGTGATGAAGGAAACAATCGCAAAGTAGATTTGTCATTCACGCCGCTACTGCAGTAGTTGATAGCCTTCTCTCAGTTAGTCATTTTAGGTTCGAAATAAGACGAGAAGGATAGAGAGTGTGCGTATGTGTATGTGAGTGTGTAAATTCGGAAGAAATATCAAGAGAACTGAACGAAAATAAGGGAAACAACAATTGAATTTGAAACATTTGCCATTTGAACTGGTATGAAAAGCATGCTGTAGGCTAATACCAGTGAAAATAATGAAATCGTCATTGGCCTTGTCCACTGTTGTCTATAGCTTATCGGGTTGAAGCCCTTCGTTCATTTTCATTTGTTGCATAACATAGACATTAGAAAGAATTGAATAAACTGGGATAGTCAAAAAAGAAGAAATACAACAAGACATTATATCAGACAGCTTCTTCCTATTATATACTATATGATATTAAACAGATTCTTCATTCTGTTTTTTTCTATGCAGATATACAAAGCAGAATTTAGAAGATGGAGAGGACGTGCAAGAAAGAAAGAGAGAAAGAGGGAAAGAAAGAGAGAGAAAATGAAGAGCTGAGTCTTCGAGTAGTGATTTCAAGAAAACAATAATCGTAATAGATGAAAAGATTGAAAAGTTATTTTGGAATAAGCAACTTAGGCTGAATAATTCATAGATTTTTATATTTCGTTCGTCATACTCAGCCAGCCGTTAGTTGAATCTAATTTTCCGATTTGTTACCTAGACTCCCATATGACAAAAAAAGAAACAGATGTCGTATGTAGGCTCAAGAAATGTATGTGGTCAGCCTTGAGAAAGCTTGACGATTTCTGGGTCTGAATAGTATTTTCGAGAAAGAATAAATAACAAGAAAGTTCAAAGTTGAATAAGTGGAAGATAAAGTAGAGCTTCTGTTTTTTCTCCAAAAAACTTGTGCGAACTACGAAGCTGCGAGATGAAATCATTGAAAAAACGAATGGAAGATATTAGTCAGTCAAGTCATTGAAGAACACAGACAGAAGTAGTTAGAGGTGTACAGACGAAAGACAATGAGTGAGAGAAAAAATGGAAAACAAGATGAGAGTAAGATATAAGAAGATGGAGAGAACGAGACTATTGAAGAGATATCTTATAACTGCAAAATCTCAAAATGGTACTTGTTACTAAACATCTTAGACTGCTCTCAACTGTAAAAAAACCTTAAACATTGGAAAGTTTGTGAAAATTGAAAAGATCTTCATAATCAGCGAAAAATAAATAGAATGGAGACCTTCTTTCACCTAAAACAGCTTTCAGTTCATTGTTTTGGGCAGTTCAAAGAAAGCATTTTGAAGGCAAAAACTAAAGCCATTTGCGCTACGAATAATGTATTCCGTGAGACCAAACGAAGACAGCCATAAAAGTAAAAAAGAGTGTTGAATAAAGAGGTAAAAAGAGAGATTTAAGAAAAAACGGGAAAAGTAAAGAGTGCCGGCAGGAGAACGGAGAAGAGAAGGAGGGCGAGAAAGCTGGCCAAAACGGAAAAAACTGAGATTAAACGTCTAAGAGGAGAAGAATTGTGCATAATACGATGAAGAACTGAAGAAGTAAGTATTAAGAGAAGCACGGTAAGCTTCAGAAATATATGAAACGAACTAGAGAGAGAGAGAGAGAGAGAGAGAGAGAGAGAGAGAGAGAGAGAGAGAGAGAGAGAGAGAGAGAGAAA